TCCAGGCCCGGAGATGGAGCTGCGACGGAGCTGGTGCCGCTGGGACGAGGCCAAGGAAAGCTGGAGACTCCTCCCTCAGACCCGGGAGTCCAGGTCCCGGCCCCTCCTCCCTCAGACCCGGGAGCCCAGGTCCCGGCCCCTCCTCCCTCAGACCCGGGAGCCCAGGTCCCGGCCCCTCCTCCCTCAGACCCGGGAGCCCAGGTCCCGGCCCCTCCTCCCTCAGACCCGGGAGCCCAGGTCCCGGCCCCTCCTCCCTCAGACCCGGGAGCCCAGGCCCCGGCCCCTCCTCCCTCAGACCCGGGAGCCCAGGCCCCGGCCCCTCCTCCCTCAGACCCGGGAGCCCAGGCCCCGGCCCCTCCTCCCTCAGACCCGGGAGCCCAGGTCCCGGCCCCTCCTCCCTCAGACCCGGGAGCCCAGGTCCCGGCCCCTCCTCCCTCAGACCCGGGAGCCCAGGTCCCGGCCCCTCCTCCCTCAGACCCGGGAGCCCAGGCCCCCAGCTCTTTCCCTCTTTCCTCCTGTACCCCTCCTCTTAGGCATTTTGAGGTCCTCTCCTATTCCCTTTCCCTTTCTTTTTTTTTTTTTTTTTTTTTTTTTTTTGAGACGGAGTTTCACTCTTGTTACCCAGGCTGGAGTGCAATGGCGCGATCTCGGCTCACCGCAACCTCCGCCTCCTGGGTTCAGGCAATTCTCCTGCCTCAGCCTCCTGAGTAGCTGGGATTACAGGCATGTGCCACCATGCCCAGCTAATTTTTTGTATTTTTAGTAGAGACGGGGTTTCACCATGTTGACCAGGATGGTCTCGATCTCTTGACCTCGTGATCCACCTGCCTCAGCCTCCCAAAGTGCTGGGATTACAGGCTTGAGCCACCGTGCCCGGCCCCCTTTCCCTCTCTTTTACAGAAACCCCTCCCTCCCTCCACTCCCCATTCTAGGACTGAGACCAAGGCTGAGTCACAAGAAGCCCTGGGGCCCTGAGTCACCTCTCGCTCCCCCCTTAGCCCCTCCCTGGCTGGAGGCAGCTGGCTTCGAGCGAGGTGGTTTCCTGCGACTGACCCCTGCATCCCAGGACTTCAGCTTGCAGGCAGGTGCCCTCCCCATTGCCGCCACCCCGGCCTGCCCATGCCCAGCCTTTGCTGTTTTTCTCCTTCAGTCGTGCTCTGTTTGGAGACAGAATTCCTCTGTGCTCTAACTTCCGTGTCTTGATTCTGTTTCCGGTTTCTCTGCACCTGTGCGTCTCTTCTGTCTCTGTCTCTTTGTTTTTTTTGTTTTGTTTTGTTTTGTTTTTTAATACACGCCCCCCACCTTCCTGGCTAAACCGCTGGAGGTCTCTCTGATTATCTCTCTCCCTCTGTGTGAGTCTCTGTCTCCATTTTTCACAAGTGCCTGAACTGGGGCGCAGATGCTGTGGCACGGCCGCCGCTGGAGCTTTCTCTATTTAGTGGCTTCTGACCCTCGGGTGGCCGCAGTCTCTGGACCGCTGGCCCTCAGCCTCTCAGTGGGGCTGGGCTAGAACTGGAAGGAACTGCCAGTGCAGCCAAGAGAAACTGAGGCAGAGACAACCACAAAGAGGCTGGGACAGAGAGAGAGAGAGAGACCCAAAAGGAGGCCTGGAGGCAGGGAGAGACTGAAACAGAGACAGAGAGAAGCATCGATCCAGCAAGAGACAGACAAAAACAGAGGACTTTAGAGACAGAGAGATGGAGACAGAGCGAGACAGGCAGATAGAGACACAGGCAGCGATGAACACAGAGAGAGACATAATGGCAGAGAGACAGTGAACTGAAGAGAGAAGGAAACAGGAGCAGAGGGGGACACGAAGATGGAGAAAGGAACAGAGTGATGAGACAGACACAGAGAGGCTGAGAGGCAGAGGCACAGAGACAGAGTGGAGACAGGCACAGACAAAGGTACCAGGAAAGAAAAACAGACAGAGATAAAGAGAAACCCAGCCGGACGCGGTGGCGCGCGCCTGTACTCCCAGCACTTTGCAAGGCCGAGGCGGGCAGATCACCTGAGGTCAGGAGTTCGAAACCAGCCTGGCCAACATGGTGAAACCCCGTCTCTACTAAATACACAAAAATTAGCCAGGTGTGGTGGTACGTGCTTGTAGTCCCAGTTGCTTGGGAGGCTGAGGTAGGAGAATCACTTGAATCCAGGAGGCGGAGGTTGTGTGAGCCAATATCACGCCACTCCACTCCAGCCTGGGAGACAGAGCGAGACTGCATCTCAGAAAAAAAAAAAAAAAAAAAAAAAAAACCCAGAGGCTTCCAGACCAGGGGAGGCTGAGATAGGAAGCAAGCCCCAGAGAGAGGAACCAGAGAGAGAGAGCCAGGTGCCAGGCTGCCAGGGTGGCCAGTGAGCAAGGGTGTGCAGGCTGCAGGCTTGAGGGTGCCTGGCGGCTACATTTTCCCCAAGTGGACGCCTGTGTGGTGTCTGGGCGCGCCTGGGCGTGTCTCCAGCCCTCTCCCGCCAAGTCTCGCTGAGTGGGAATAGTGTGTGTGTGCGCCGAGGGGCGGGGCCCCCTCGAGGGTTGTGTTTTTGTCAGTGGGCGTGTCCGTGTGTAGGGTTCTACAGTTTGGTATCTCTGGGTGTGTCCATGTGGGCTGCCTCAGTGTGCAGCCAGGCACGTCTGTTCATGTCTTGCTTCCCTGGGGCTGGTGGGTCCAGGGTCCCACATGATCTAGGACACAAGGAGGGAGAGGGCTGTGTCCTTGGGTTTCTCGAAGAGAGGTGCACATGACGCCAAGAGCAGTGTCACCGGGTCAGTGCGTGAGGCTGGGAGGTAATGTGTGTCACAGGTCAGTGCCTTGCCTGGGTCTGCATAGGAGGGTTTTGATCTGTGCTGGCGCAGATGGCATACACACCCATGAGTGAGTGGCTCGTGCTGCGGCACATGGTGATGTCCTAGGTCATGTGTCGCTCTGGGAGTCGCGGTGCGCCTTCCACACTGCATTTGCCACTGTGTGGGTCGGTGTGTGTGTCTTCTCTTGGTGGGTTGTATGTAACATTGTGGGCCGGTCGTGGTGGCTCACACCTGTAATCCCAGCACTTTGGGAGGCGGAGGCAGGCGGATCATCTGAGGTTGGGAGTTCGAGACCAGCCTGACCAATATGGGGAAACCCCATCTCTACTAAAAATACAAAATTAGCAGAGTGTGGTGGTGCATGCCCATAATCCCAGGAGAATCGCATGAACCCGGGAGGTGGAAGTTGCCATGAGCCAAGATGGTGCCACTGTACTCCAGCCTGGGGGACAAGAGCAAAACTCTGTCTCAAAAACAACAACAACAACAACAACAACAACAACAAACATTGTATACCACTCAGGGGTGTGACTCTGTGTCTCAGGTCAGGGTGCATGTCCCTGTTGGGGGCCCCTTCCTTCCCAGCCCCAGCACCCCGCCTGAGTACCAGCCACCCCAAGTGTACCATGCTTGTGCAGCTGTGTTACGTTGTGTCAGAGGATACACCCCTTCCCCACTGCTGGTGTTGTGTGGCTGTTGGTAGGCTCAGTGTCAGTGGTAGCAGTGGATGACATATGGTGTTTGATGGGACACGTGGTTGTTTGTAGAAGGTTGCGTGTGTTGGGAAATGTGTGTCTATGTGTTCTGTGTCGCTGCATGCTGGCGTGTTACTCCATGTCTGTTGTTTGTGTGGCCACGCATGCTAGAATATATGTGCTGGGTCATGTGGAGGTATCGCATGTGACGTTTGGGTGTGGCTTATGGGTCGGAGGTGATGGTGTATGTTGCATTTGGTTTTTTGTTGTTTTTGTTTGTTTTAGAGATGGGATCTTGCTATGTTGCCCAGGCTGGCCTCAAACGCCTGGGCTCAGGCAGTTCTCCCACCTCAGCTTCTCAAACTGCTGGGATGACAGGCATGAGCCACGGCTCCCAGCCGTTTGTTGCATTTGGGCATTGGGGCCTCTGTAAGTCCAGCCCCACCCCTCTTCCCCGGGGCATCATCCTGGGTCATGTCCTGTGTGGCCAGAATATGTCAGAATCATCTTGCTTCAGGCATGTGCTGGGTTGGGTTTCTCCGAGTGTCGCTGTACCTTGTGGGTCTCTGCATCCATTCAGCTTGTCCTCTGACTGTACATTTGAATCGCATCGTGCACCAGGCATGCTGGATGGGTGTGTGTTGTGAATCATCACTGTGAGCACTTGCATTGGAGTCGCCAGGCGCCACGACGTGTGTGCATTTCCCTTGGTGCTGGGCGGTTGGGGGCTGCTATAGGTATGTCCCTAAGTGTTGTGTGTCTGCATGTATTGGGTTTCATTCCAAGGGTGTATAGTGTTTGTGAAACTGAAGACTGCACAGTGGTAACATAGGTGCGTAGTGTGTGGCGTCAGGGTGTCACTACTTTAACATATGTTGTGTGTTTGTGTAACGCTTGGTATATGTTGTGTTTGTGTGGCCACAGATGTGCATCATCCGATCTGTGCTGTTTGGATGTGTGTCAGAGTAAGTTGTGGGCTGGGCGCAGTGGCTCACACCTGTAATCCCAGCACTTTGGGAGGCCTAGGCAGGCGGATCACCTGAGGTCAGGAGTTCGAGACCAGCTTGACCAATACGGTGAAACCTGGGCTCTACTAAAAATACAAAACTTGGCCGGTTGTGGTCGTGGGCACCTGTAGTCCCAGCTACTTGGGAGGCTGAGACAGTACTACTGCTTGAACCCAGGAGGCGGAGGTTGCAGTGAGCCGAGATCACGCCACTGCACTCCAGCCTGGGTGACAGTGTGAGACTCCGTCTAAAAAAAAAAAAGTTTGACAACTTTGAGTGTAATATTTGTGCCTGTGTGTGGACGGTGTTTGGGTGGCTGTGTGCGCCGCGGGATGCTGCCTGCCTTGCTGAGTGGTGGTGTGTGTCACACCATGTGTGTGGTGTCTGGGTGTGGCTGTGGGTTTCAGAGCTTGCTGGGAGTTGTGAGTCACTCTGTGTAGGTTGTGTTGTGTGCCATGGTGTGTTAGTCTCCGTCTTGGGCCGTGAAATGTCCTGCAGTGTCTGGGTGTGGTGAGTGGAGGTGTGTGTCACAAGGTACAGACCGTTGTGTGTCACAAAACCCATTGTGTGTCTGTGTGTGTCTTTCTCCACGTGGATGGATGTCTCTTCTTCGCTCTGCCCCAAGACACACCCCTGCCCCTCCTTAGTCTCGAAAGGGGGGGCTGGGGAGCCTCCCCCTACCCCGAGGCCTCCCCTGCCCCTCCCCGCCCTGCCTGGCCGTCACCACTCCCCAGAGGGCACAGGGCTCTGCTGTGCCTCAGAGAAAAAGTCCCGGAGCCAGCAGAGCAGGCTGACGACCTGCAAGCCACAGTGGCTGCCCTGTGCATGCTGCGAGGTGGGGGACCCTGGGCAGGAAGCTGGCTGAGCCCCAAGACCCCGGGGGACATGGGCGGGGATCTGGTGCTTGGCCTGGGGGCCCTGAGGCGCCGAAAGCACTTGCTGGAGCAGGAGAAGTCTCTGGCCGGCTGGGCACTGGCGCTGGCGGGAATTGGCATCGGACTCATGGTGCTGCATGCAGAGATGCTGTGGTTCGGGGGGTGCTCGGTGAGTGGGGCCTGGTGGCTGCAAGCCAGGACTCCTGGGTCTGAGGGAAGAGGGGCTGAGGGTCAGGACTCCTGGGTCCGAGGGAGGAGGGACTGGGAGCTGGGACTCCTGGGTCTGAGGGAGGAGGGACTGGGGGTCAGGACTCCTGTGTCTGAGGGAGGAGGGGCTGAGGGTCAGGACTGCTGGGTCTGAGGGAGGAGGGACTGGGGGCCTGGACTCCTGAGTCTGAGGGAGGAGGGGCTGCGGGTCGGGACTCCTGGGTCCGAGAGAGAAGGGGCTGCGGGTCAGGACTCCTGGGTCTGAGGGAGGAGGGGCTGCGGGTCGGGACTCCTGGGTCCGAGAGAGAAGGGGCTGCGGGTCAGGACTCCTGAGTCTGAGGGAGGAGGGGCTGCGGGTCGGGACTCCTGGGTCCGAGAGAGAAGGGGCTGCGGGTCAGGACTCCTGGGTCTGAGGGAGAAGGGACTGGGGGTCAGGACTCCTGGGTCTGAGGGAGGAGGGACTGGGGGTCAGGACTCCTGGGTCTGAGGGAGGAGGGACTGGGAGCTGGGACTCCTGGGTTCGAGGGAGGAGGGGCTAGGGGTCGAGACTCCTGGGTCCGAGGGAGGAGGGGTTGGGGGCCTGGGCTCTTGGGTCTGAGAGAGGAGAGGCTTTGGCTGGGACTCCTGGGAGCGGAGAGCGTTAGTTGCTGGGGGCCTTCTCTGCAAAAGGAAGGGAATATTCGTCTCAGTGTTTCAGTCTTTGAAGATGTTGCAATAGATGGCCAGAGGTTCAGGACCCCTGGAGGCCAGAGGGTGGCTTGTCAGACGGTCAAGTCCCCCAGGAGCCTGTAAGGGGAGAGGGAGCCCCAAGCAGGCTAAGGGGAGGGTGAAGGAAAAAGTTCTTCCAGGAGGCGGCAGCTCTTTGGTCCTTCTCTAGCCTCTAACGTTTACCTAATGCCTTAGATGCAAAGGGCAGAAGAAACTGGCTGGGGTGGGGATGGGTGATAGGAAACAAATCTCTCCCCACCTGCCTCCCCGATCCCCCCCCCAACCCAGTCTCCACTGTTAACAAGCCCAATTTCTCCCCACATCGACATGCTGATTAGTCAGGGAAATCGTGTCAGGGTAGGCTTACAGTGGCCTGGACTCCTAGGTACCAGGGGAGGAGGGGCTGGGTCCTGGACTCCAGAGTCTTGAGGAGAAGGGGGCTTGGAATGTCTTTGGGGCAGAGGGGCTGACTCTGAAGATCCTGGTGAGTCGGGAAGGGGAAGGTGGGTCAGGACAGGTCTCAGCAGGCCCCTATCACATTCCAGCCCTGGTCAGGCCAGTGATCAGGGCAGACGAAGGACAAGGGTTGGAATAAGTGGCTTGAGGGGAGAACAGACTTGCTCAACAGGAAAGGAGGGGCTGGAGACCTCTCTGGGGGAAGGGTTGTGGAACTCGGCTGGTAGGGCCAGCAGTGGACACTGATTTGAAGGTCAGGTTGATTCCTGAGGGTCTGATGCTCTGACTTGGATCTGGAGGGTGTGGTGGGCAGCTCTGGAGTGACCAGAAGCCACATGGAGGGTCAGGCAGGCAGCTTCCTCTGGCCGGCGGCGGGCACTGAGGGGGTGGGGCCACCGAATCCCATGCCAACAGGAAGCATGGCCGGGGCCTGCCCTCCGCTCCCATGCCGAATCACCACGCCCGGCAGCCGAGGTGGGAACACAATGACCCTGGCAGATGGGAAGAGACGGGGGTCCTTCCTACCCCACCTCCCCCTCTGCTTTCTCACCCCTCCTTTCTCCCTGCCTTCCACCATGGCCAGGCCACCGTCACTATCAGTGGGACCTGGGGAAAGCTGTTGCAACTCTCTGAACCTCAATCTCCCCATCTGTAAATTGGGGTGAGGGTTAAAATACATGACCCTAAGGGTCATCCTCTACCCTTTTTAATGTTGGGTGTTTTTTTTGTTTTGTTTTGTTTTTTTGTAGAGGTGGGATCTTGCTTTGTTGTCTAGGCTGGTCTTAAACTCCTGGACTCAAGCAATCCTCCTGCCTCAAAGTGCTGGGATTACAGGCCTGAGCCACAGCTCCTCAGTCCCCATTTGAGGGATCTGTTAGTAACATCCATGTCCCCTTCCCACCTCCGTCTCAGTCTAATGAACTCATTTCTTTAAAGGACCCAGACACCTGCTCCCCAGGGGAAGGGGCTGGCAGAGAGGCAGGTACCAAACCCTAGGGAGTCCAAGGGAACCAGAGAGAGAGACCCAAAAGCAGCAGGTGGGGTGGGGGAGGGGAGATGGGAAGACGTACAGAGAGAGACAGAGACACAGAGATACATGGAGAGAAAAAGAGAGATGGAGACACAGACACGGAAAGAGACAGAGAAGTACAGCTAAAGAGAGACAAAGGGCTGTGGAGCTGCCGAGAAACTCACCAGGGAGAGAGATGCACAGAGCGTTAGAAAAGCCAAGAGAAACAGAGACCCTCAAAACACATGGAGAGGCAGAAAGAGCCATCCCTAGAGACAGGGAAATTCAGAGACCAAAGCCTAGCCCAAGGTTGGACAGGTCCAGGATTTGGGGGAAGAGGAATTGGAAAGGTAGAGGGGCCCGCCAGAGAAGCGAATTGCAGTGTGGGGAGGGGGCTTGTGTTTAGTGGTGTGGGGGGTTGAGACAGACTGAAGAAGGAGGCAGGGAACCAGGGAGCCGTAGATGGTGGGGGAGGGCTGGTGACAACGCCACCATTGTTCAGGTCGGAGGTAGGGGAACAGGCCCCTGGGGCAGGAAACTGGCCCTCTTCCCCTGCTCAGAGGCGGGGCACTGGCCCAGCCCGGGGAGCTGGCAACCCTTTTAGGAGAAACAGGTGCAGTGCTCTGTAAGGACACCCAGGTGGTCCCCATCCCTCTGCAAATAACCTGCCAGGCTGTGGCCAACCCCTCTTAGGAAATCCAACAGCCCCAGTCCCCTCTAAATCCCTCTCTCCAGAATCCTAGATTCCTCCAAGGTTGTGCCACACAAAGGCGGGGGGCGGGGGGTGCGGAGAAGAACAACAACAATCTCTCTGTGGTTTCTGGAAGCCCTGTGCTTCCGGCCAGATCTGCCCTGGGCTTAGAGCCAGAAGAGAGGGGTGGGGTGGGGGTGGTGAGATGCAGGGGGCAGAACTGAGGGGGCTGTCTCAGAGCCGAGGCTCAGGGCTCAGGGACTCAGCTCTCTGGATGAGGGCAGGGAAGGGTGTGATTCAGTCCTTGAGGACTGAATGGTAGTTTCTATGTTCTTTCAGATTTGGGGTTGGGGATGATTGAAGTTGGTTTCTAGGGCAACACCAGCTGGGTAGGAAGGGGAGGGGAGGGGGCATTCTCTAGAGGCTAGATGTCTTTTTCTAGACACCCCTTACACACACATACACACACACACACAGCTGAAGAAGTAGTTTTGACGGGGAACTGGACAGGAATAAGAAGGAATGTGAGTTTCAAGGTCCCCCTTCATGGGTATGGGTCTCGGGAGAAGAGCTGAGGAAGAGGATAGACACCAGCATCTGGACAGCGTTGTCCTGTTGGAGAGAAAGAGAGCATTCCTGGGGACCAGATGATGGTGGGTTTTTTGTCTGTTTGCTTATTTCAAGATGGAGATTCGCTCTGTCGCCCAGGCTGGAGTGCAGTGGCGCCATCTCTCACCGAAACCTCCACCTCCCAAGTGGCTGGGATTAAACACCCGGCTAATTTTTGTACTTTTAGTAGAGATGGGGTTTCACCATGTTGGCCAGGGCAGGTTGGAAACTCCTGACCTTAGGTGATCCACCTGCCTCGGCCTCCCAAAGTGCTGGGATTACAGGCGTGAGCCACCGCGCCCGGCCGGACGATGGTTTTTGAGACTTCCTCAGAACCGACACATCAAGAGGGACTGGACTGCAGGGGAACTTGGCTAGGAAAATTGGGAATCAAGAAAAAAAATGGTGGTTTTGAAGGAAAGAAAAGGGGACTGGCCAGGTGGAGAGACACCTGGGATTTCACCCCTGTTTCTGTCCCTCCCGACAGTGGGCGCTCTACCTGTTCCTGGTTAAATGCATTATCAGCATTTCCACCTTCTTACTCCTCTGCCTCATCGTGGCCTTTCACGCCAAAGAGGTCCAGGTAGGGCAGGCCCCGCCCCTAAGCCTTGCTCCCCCAACCCCCGCAGTGCCCTGTCAGCTCACACTTTCCACTTTCCTCCTCCTCCTGATCTGAGTAATGAGGTTCCTCTGCCTCAGATGCTGCATCCACACCCTCACCTACCCAGATGAGCTGAACCAAGAGCAGACAGGCAGAACCTACCGACCAGCCCTGCTCTTTCCCTGTGGCCCCCGGCCCCCCCTTGCACACTCGTGGATGCTGAGAGCGCCCTTGCAGTGCTGCTTCTGCCCTCAGGCTTCTGTCCGCTGTGGCCCAGGCAACCTCAGCCTCCCAGATCCCTGTGCTCCAACATTCATCCCCAATCCAGTCCCCAAGCAACCTAAGGCCCCAGGGGTACCCACTCCTTTTTTTTTTTTTTTTTTTTTTTGGAGGCAGAGTCTTGCTCTGTTGCCCAGACTGGAGTGCAGTGGCACAATCTCTGCTCACAGCAACCTCTACTTCCTGAGTTAAAGCAATTCTTGTGCCTCAGTCTTGCAAATAGCTGGGACTACAGACATGTGCCACATCGCCCAGCTATTATTTTATTTTAGTAGAAACAGGGTTTTGCCATGCTGCCTAGGCTGGTCTCCAACTATTGAGCTCAGGCAATCTGCCTGCCTTGTCCTCCCAAAGGGCTAGGATTACAGACTTGAGCCACCACACCTGGCCCAGTCCCACGGGTGCCCACTCCTGATCACCCTATCTCTGTGCCAGTAACTTCCCCATGCCCCAGACCCAGGAACTCTCCCCATCCATACTCCACCTTGGGTCTCCCCAAATACAACCCATCCCTCATCGCCCAGATCCTGTTACTCCATTCCTTTTCCCCCTTGTCCCTCCCCTATCACAACTTTGCATATAAAATGGAGATTATTGGCCATGTGCGGCAATTCTCTGAGCAGCGCCTGGTACATAGAGGTGCTCAGTAAACAGTGCATATTATCATCTTATCATAGAGCAGTTAAGTGGCCTGTGGCCCAGTGTGCCATTCCCCATGGGAGGGATCCAGGCCTCAATTTCCATATCTATAAAATGGGGGTGATAATAACAATCTCACTGGGCTGTAAGCATTTACTGAGTCACAATATGCAAAGGGGCTAGAGTGGTGCCTGGCGTATCCACAGTGCCCAGTACATGCTGACTTTCTTATTGCTTTGTGTGTTTTTTGTTTGTTTGTTTGTTTTGAGATGGAGCCTCACTCTGTCACCCGGGCTGGAGCGCAGTGCCAAGATCTCGCCTCACTGCAACCCCTGCCTCCCAGGTTCAAGTGACTCTCCTACCTCAGACTCCCGGGTAGCTGGGGCTACAGGTGTGCGCCAGCCACCATGCCCCGATTATTTTTGTGTTTTTCAGTAGAGAAGGGGTTTCACCCTGTTGGCCAGGCTGGTCTGGAATTCTTGACCTCAGGTGATCCACCCACCTCAGCTTCCGAAAGTGATGGGATTACAGGTGTGAGCCATCGCGGTCGGTCCGTGGCTTTGTTATTGCTGATATTATTATCACATGTGTCACCTGAAACGGCGTAGGAGCGAGCTCCAGGCAATTGGAATGTAAGCTCCAGGATGCAGGGGTTCCGTTTGGTTCACTGTGTGTCCTTAGCACATAGAACAATGCCAGGCACACAGTCGGCGATCCGTGAGGCTGGAAGTGGGCTGAACCTCGTGGGGTGGGTGGTAGGGAAAGGAGGAAAAAGTGGAGAGATGTCTTCCTCAAGTCCTGTCCCGCTCCCTCCCTATCCGTCTCCCTCCCAGCGCTATCTCCCTCGCTCCAGGCAGGCACACCCACTTATCTCACGGCGAAGGCAGGCACAGGCCGCTGCCTGACCCGCGCCTGACCTGCGCCTGAACCCTCCCCTCTCGGCCCCTTCCCGGCAGCTGTTCATGACCGACAACGGGCTGCGGGACTGGCGCGTGGCGCTGACCGGGCGGCAGGCGGCGCAGATCCTGCTGGAGCTGGCGGTGTGCGGGCTGCACCCGGCGCCTGTGGGGGGCCCGCCGTGCGCACAGGGTTCAGGGTCGCCGCTGACCTCGTTGCAGCCCTGGCCGGGATTCCTGAGCCAGGGGGAAGCGCTGCTGTCGCTGGCCATGCTGCTGCGCCTCTACCTGGTGCCCCGCGCCGTGCTCCTGCGCAGCGGCGTCCTGCTCAACGCCTCCTACCGCAGCATCGGCGCGCTCAACCAGGTCCGCTTCCGCCACTGGTTCGTGGCCAAGCTTTACATGAACACGCACCCCGGCCGCCTGCTGCTCGGCCTCACGCTCGGCCTCTGGCTGACCACCGCCTGGGTGCTGTCCGTGGCTGAAAGGTGAGGGTGCTGGAGGCCTAAATGCGCAGGGGAGGGAAGGGGAGCGGAGGACACGCGGAACCCCGGACAGCCACAGCAGCCATCCTGTACTGCCGTGCAGGTCCCCTAGGACCAAGCAATGGAGAAAGTTCACACTTTGAATCCTTTTCCTCTTGCTGGCTAAAGTTTGCCCACACTCCCATCAACTGAGAGGAACCAACAGACAAGCCCCCAGCCAAAATCCTCCGCGTGCAGCCTTCAGTCTCTCCGAATGCACACACTGACCAGCACACACAGACCCTAGAAAGCCGTTCCCTTCTGGCTCCGGACCTCTACTGCCTCGGGTTTCCAGGCCATCTGTTCGGTCTCCAAACCTGTCTCTGGGACCTGGTTAAAGGGTTGCCTCTGGCTTGGAGGAAAGGGACATATTTTCCAAATTAGCACAGAATGCACTGTAGGTAGGTGCTTTCTGTGACCCTAGGAAGGGGATGATTTGGAGCTGCTCAGGAAAATAATTCCACGTCCGGAGTTGGAACTAGATCCATACTGTGTAACCCGATGCCAGGCTTCAATTTCTATCCCTTACAGAGAAAGAGGTTGGGAGTGATCTTGGCCAGGGATTCTTAAAGTGTGGTTTCAGGACCAGCAGCATCACCTGGGAACTTGCAAATGAAAATTCTCAGGTCCCTTCCAGACCTACTGAATCCTGGGGGGTAGGGCCAGCAATCCGCTTTAGCAAGCCCTCCAGGTGAGTCTATGGCCCACCCAAGGTTGATAACTTCTGGTCTAGTATATGTGGCGAAGATCCTTGAGGGCAGGAGGAGAATGAGAAGCTCTGGCTTTAGTTCTCTCCTCTCTGAGCCTCAGTTTCCACATCTGAAAAATGAGTGTCACATTCCACCATCTGTAGTCTCCCTTGCAGTTCTTTTTTTTTTTTTTTTTTTTTTTTTGAGATGGAGTCTCTGTCACCCAGGCTAGAGTGCAGTGGCACGATCTCTGCTTACTGCAACCTCTGCCTCCCAGCTTCAAGCAATTCTCATGCCTCAGCCTCCTGAGTGGCTGGGATTACAGGTGTGTGCCACCATGTCTGGCTGTTTTTTTTTTTTTTTTTTTTTTGAGACAGTTTTTTTGCTCTGGTTGCCCAGGCTGGAGTGCAATGGCATGATCTCAGCTCACCGCAACCTCCACCTTCCAGGTTTAAGTGATTCTTCTGCCTCAGCCTCCCAAGTAGCTGGGACTACAGGCATGCACCACCATGCCCAGTTAATTTTTTTGTATTTTTAGTAGAGACAGGGTTTCTTCATGTTGGCCAGGGTGGTCTTGAACTCCTGACCTCAGGTGATTCACCTGCCTCAGCCTCCCAAAGTGCTGGGATTACAGGCGTGAACCACTGCGACTGTCATTTTTGTATTTTTAGAAGAGACCATGTCACCATGTTCAGCTGGTTTCAAACCCCTGCTTTCAAGTGAACCTCCTGCCTTGGCCTCCCAAAGTGCTGGGATTACTGCACCCGGCCTCTGTCATGATTTTAAACTCTTTCATCTTCCAGGGCCTTAGTTTTCCCAACTGGGAAATTGGTCAGAATAAGGATTAATGAATAATCCCCCCATCATGTTTCTCATCTGAAAAAATGGGAGAACGAAGTCAAAGTTCAAAATTCCAGGGCAGAAATCCCAAAACTAGAATGAGGGGGGTGGGGTTTGTGAACAGCACAGATTCCATCTTTGCTCCTAGAAACTCTAACCTGGTGGGCTGGGGTGTCTGGGGCCCTCACATATGACACTTTCCCTGCTGATGTTGCTGCAAGGGCCTGTGGACACAGTAAGACAAATCTCAACATTTCAACCCTTCCATGGCTGGACCTAAATGTCTCCTTCTGTGAAGTGAGAGGAAAGGAAGGCAGAGTCCCACCAAGCCTCTTTAGAGTTCTTTCTGGTCCTGATAGGGCCACTTCCGGACCACACAGCATCTTTGTGGAAACTGGAAAAACACACTCCTTCCTCTGGGTGGATGCAGCTGCCTGTGAGGGTCTGATTGGGTTTTGGCCCCCTCTCGACTCTCCACCCTCAACTGAGTGCTCTGAATGCAGCAACCCAGGTAGCCTAACTAAGACCATGCTGGCCTGGAGATTGGCTAGACCCAGTCTCAAATCCTAGAGTGGCTAAGCAACTTGCCCAGGTCACACAGCAGAAAGCCAGGCAGGCTTTCCAAAGCTCAGAACTGATTGGGTTTTTGTCCAGGTGATTCTTAGGACTGTGGGTGCCTATGGGGAGGAGAGGGAAGTGGAGGGGAGAGGATGTCATGGAAACCTCCATGGTAGGTTTCAGAACTAACCCATCCTTCTCCATAGGCAGGCCGTTAACGCCACCGGGCACCTCTCCGACACACTGTGGCTGATCCCCATCACATTCCTGACCATTGGCTATGGTGACGTGGTGCCGGGCACCATATGGGGCAAGATCGTCTGCCTCTGCACTGGAGTCATGGTGAGTACAACCCTCTTGGGGACCGATCCTTATCCCAAACTGGTCATCCTCAGACCCCAGAAAGCCATGGAGGCAACCCAGGCTCTCAGGGACAGCTCCTAAGAAACTTGAGTGTCTGGGGCCCCCACAGCCACGTTTCTCTTCAAGACCAAGATACTCACCTGTAATCCCAACCTTGTGGGAGGCCAAGGTGGGAGGATCACTTGAGCCCAAGAGTTTGAGGTTACAGTGAGCTATGATTGTTCTACTGCCCTCCAGCCTGGCTGACAGACTGAGACCCTGTCTCTAAAAAATAAAATAAAAGCCGGGCGCGGTGGCTCACGCCTGTAATCCCAGCACTTTGGGAGGCCGAGGTGGGCGGATCACGAGATCGGGAATTCAAGACCAGCCTTGCCAACATGGTGAAACCCCGTCTCTACTAAAAATACAAAAAAAAAAAAAAAAAAAAAAAATTAGCCGGGCATGGTGGCGGGTGCCTGTAATCCCAGCTACTCAGGAGGCTGAGGCAGGAGAATTGCTTGAACCCAGGAGGCGGAGGCTGCAGTGAGCCAAGATCATGCCATTGCACTCCAGCCTGGGCAACAAGAGCAAGATTGCATCTCAAATAATAATAATAATAATAAATTAAATTAAAAATCAGACCTAGGAATCCAGCCCGTGAGTCCTTGCTCTCTCTAGAACCTAGGACTCCATCCCTTATCCTCCTGAGGAACCCAGGCTCCTGACTTCGAAGCCCCATTTTCTTTCAGAACCCAGAATCATCTCCCAGCCTCCATCAAGGGTGCAGAGTCCAGTTGTCAAGTGTATGCCTGTGGGGCCAGGCTACCTGGGTCCAAATTCTGCATCTGCTACTTCCTGGCTGGGGAGCTCAGGCGAGCCACGTGATCTCTCTGGGCCTCACTTTCCTCATCTGTGAAATAGGGCTGCTGAGCTAGTGACTCCTCGTGGGCTTGCTGAGATGATTAATGGGTTCAACCATGTAAAGCACTTTTAATAGTGCCCAGCCCAGAGGAAGTGCTCAGTAAAAAGGTCTGGGGGTGCCCAGGCATCTAGCCACCCCACAGCAGCTCCTGTGCCCTTAAGGATGAGGCAGAGGCTCTGCAGCCCCTGAGTCAGCCTCTTCCTTGAACCCCGACTTCTACCTTCTTACCTCCATAGACCCAGTCACTCAGATCCTCCCCCCCAGCCCTGGCCCCCTCTAATGCCTTGACCTTCACCTCCGTACAAGATCTGGTTTCTGTCACCCTTGGGGACCCAAGCCACCAGCTCCTAGCCCAGATGTGGGCCCAGGAAGGACATATTATCCCCCAATCCCTGGGTGCACAACTGAAGGATGTGGTGACCTCCACTCCCCCAGTGCTGAGTCTTTGGAGCAAGGGAAGAGGGACAGAGACTCAGTCAGGGACCTGCAGGGCCACTCAAGACCTCCCTCATTAGACAAAAGGAGAAACAGGAACCTAGAGAGATGCTCACAGCCTGCTCCTGGCAGAAAGGCTCCACGGCGCGGCTGAGTCATCATAGCTTACTTTTACTGAGCACATACTCTGTGCCAGCCTCTGCCCTAAACACGAAATCTACTGAGTAACCCTGTGAGGCCCTGCCCATTACACAGAGGAGACACTGAAATACTGAGAGATTAAATAAGTTGCTCGGAGCTGGCCTTGGAACCCAGGCAGTCCCCTGGAGCCAGTGTTTGTGACTGGAAGTTGTTCTGAGTGATCAAGAGCTGAAACTATAGGGTGTGGGATACCTCCAAGGAGGACTCATTCTAACGTGGGGACAGGTGAGCAGGTGCTATGAGCAGCTAGGAGCATCGGGAGAAGAAAAGGAGGAGGGGTACAGAGGAAGGTGCTCAGGGAGGGCTAAGTGTAGATGGAGTCAGGGCTGAGTTGTCTGGGTGGGAGGCGTGGACCCTGGAAGGCCTTGGGAGCCAGGCTGAGAAGTTCAGGGCAGTGGAAGCCTAGGCGATTAGAGTGGGCCAAGGGGGTTAGGGAAGGGTGAGTGGGAGGCTGGAGATGGTCCAGGAAGGAGAGGACAGGGCTGGAGCTAGGAAGTGGCTGTGGGAGTGGGAGGAGGCGGGACCGCGTCGGCAGTGAGGACCCAGAACCCAGCCTTCCCTCGCTCCTCCAATCATACCCTTCATGAAAGAGCCCATCCTGTGGGCGTGAATACTACGCATCAAATTTGGGCTCGGACCTAAACGACTTACAATTCCAGCTCCACCTCTCTGAGCTGGGGACCTCGGCTCTCCTCTCTCAGCCTGTTTGCTTGTCTGTCAACTGGGGATGGTTGTACCTGCCTTCTGTGGCTGTCGGGCAGGTTTAGGAGGGAGCTGGTGGCACATGCTCATGCCACAGGGCCTGTTCTGCCCACAGGGGGTCTGCTGCACAGCACTGCTGGTGGCCGTGGTGGCCCGGAAGCTGGAGTTCAACAAGGCGGAGAAACATGTTCACAACTTCATGATGGATATCCAGTATGCCAAAGAGGTGACGATGGGCATGTGGCACCCACGGTACACCCCTCTTTCTTTCTTTTGTTTCTGAGATGGAGTCTTGCTCTGTCGCCCAAGCTGGATTGCAGTAGCCTGATCTCGGCTTACTGCAACCTCCGCCTTCCGGCTTCAAGTGATTCTCCTGCCTCAGCCTCCTGAGTAGCTGGGATTATAGGCGAGCGCCACCACATCCAGCTAATTTTTGCCTTTTCAGTAGCGACAGGGTTTCACCATGTTGGTCAGGCTGGACTCGAACTCCTGACCTTATGATCCACCTGCCTCAGCCTCCCAAAGTGCTGGGATTACAAGCGTGAGCCACCGTGACCAGCCGGCACACCCCTCTTTGAAGAGGCACGAGTCCAGCCCTCCCACCACCCCGCTTCCCCTAGGACCCAAGAGTCCCAGCCCTAGCCCTGCCTTCCCAGAGCCCCAGGGGTCTATCTGCACTGACACTGTGCCCCATCCACCCCCAGATGAAGGAGTCCGCTGCTCGAGTGCTGCAAGAAGCCTGGAGATTCTACAAACATACTCGCAGGAAGGAGTCCCGAGCTGCCCGCAGGCATCAGCGCAGGCTGCTGGCTGCCATCAGCGCGTGAGGGCTGCTTCGTATCGCATGTATCTGTGTGCACCCATGGCCCAGTCACCTCTCTGCATGGCTTGTGTGTGTGTGTGTCCATGCCTGCCCAGGTCAGGACGCCCAGGTGTGGTCTCACGTAACAGCCTGTCCACATGGATCTGACCATGCATGACCCTCCATATGTCTGTGCTGGTTTGTCTTTGCATATCTTGGCGTGTCTGTGGACCTGGGTACCTGGGTCTCTACTGGGGATGGGGGCTCATGGGGATGCAGGGTGCAGCCATGCCCTCCCATTCCTTCAGCTCTTTGACAACTTTTCTTCTTTTTTTGTTTTTGAGTGAAGATTCCTAATGAAGTCTCACTCTTGTCACCCAAGCTGGAGTGCAATGGCACGATCTCAGCTCACTGCAACCTCCACCTCCCACGTTCAAGTGATTCTCCTGCCTCAGCCTCCTGAGTAGCTGGGATTACAGGCGCCCACCACCCCACCTGGCTAATTTTTGTATTTTTAGTAGAGACAGGCTTTCACCATGTTGGCCAGGCTGGTCTCGAACTCCTGACCTCAGGTGATCTGCCCGCCTTGGCCTCTCAAAGTGCTGGGATTACAGGCGTGAGCCACCGCACCTGGCCAACTTTTCTTCTTTGTTCCGTTTCTTCATTTGCTTCTCCTCCCTTCATTCCACCCCTGAGCTACAGCCACGTTTAGGGATCAGGCTTGTAGAAGTGACTCCCCACTTCTTCCCACAGGTTCCGCCAGGTGCGGCTGAAACACAGGAAGCTCCGGGAACAAGTGAACTCCATGGTGGACATCTCCAAGGTACAAGGCTCCCGTGGGAGGAGGTCTCCAAGAAAGGGGAGGTTGGGGCCACAGGAACAGAAATCTGGCCCTAGCACAGGGAACCTTGGCAGGGGCCTCGCACACACAGGTTGTCAGTTAAGTTCTGTGGTTGAAAGAAAAAGGAAGGAAGGAAGGAAGGAAGGAAGGATCCAACACAGAGCGTTTTACATTCACGCAAGGCACAGATCCCTTATAAACTTAGAAAAAAAAAATTGCACAAAGAACCCCAGTGTTTGGTTTCAAAGTATCTTTATGGTTAAGTCACTTACATGTGGACGGATATAAAATTCCTTCCAAGTACAGCTCGTGCGATAAAACCAAAGCAAGTTTACAAACCAAGCCCTTAGACGGCAAAACCAATAAAATTAAAATCAATAACACTGACAAGGAGACAGGTGACCTTGTTTCCGTAAAACTCAATCTCTGCTGCTCCTGTGGAGGGGGTGCCCAGGGCCACAGGGACTTCCATGCAAGCTTGCCCGGCCAAGGCATGACTCAGCCACCCGCCCCTTCCTTCTGCTGAGACGACTTGATTTCGCCAGTGCTCAGGGACAGTGATGCCACGACACCCCCTTGGCCCGGCTCGCAGCACCGTCTGGTTATCCCGTGGCCTTTGCTTTTTCTTATTAGCCCATGACAGTTCAAACAGTGGCCCCTGGCACCAATGCCATGGTAAGCACAGTCACAGATGCAGGTCCCAAAACCGCATGGCCGGTCTTAGTGAGGAGGCGGTGGCCCAGATCTGCAGGAATGGGCAGGTGGCAATTTCTGAAGATTATCAAGCCAAAAAACACATAATTCAAGAATGTCCATAGAAAACTCACAAACCCTCAGGGATCAAGCTGTGAGTCCTAGTGAGAGAATGTAGTCAAAGACTGTGTGGATGTTGAAGTCGAGTATCATCCATGCTACAAATATTTAATGAGCATCTACTATGTTCTAGGCCTTATTTCAGGGTCTGCCTTGGGCATGTCATTTAACTGTTCCATGCCCAAGGCAGGCTGCTGTTTCCTCAGCTGTACGATGGGAACAGGATTCCCACTCCCCATGGCTTTTAGGATTTTAAACCATACCAGGAAACACCTGGGTAGGTAGCTGGGACATGGGAGGTGTCAATCCATGTTAACAGTTATTGTTGAGGATAATCCTGAGAGGACCATAAGGTTGTAGTCAATGTTGGTTCCTTTGCCTTTAGCTATGGAGCAGGCGCGGGTGGACCCCAGCCCCCGGATGCCACTGACCCTCTCCTCCCCTCTAGATGCACATGATCCTGTATGACCTGCAGCTGAATCTGAGCAGCTCACACCGGGCCCTGGAGAAACAGATTGACACGCTGTCGGGGAAGCTGGATGCCGTGACCGAGCTGCTTAGCACAGCCCTGGGGCCGCGGCAGCTTCCAGAACCCAGCCAGGAGGCCACGTAGCTGGTGAGTGGGCTGGGACCTGGGCAGGAAGGCGTCCTGGAGGAAGGGTTCCTGTGGCCAGCACCCTGTGTGGCTAAGGGGGCAGGGGATGGCCTGGAGACAAGGCCACCTTTTCTCTTCAGCTCTGGCACTGGCTGGAGAAAAGACTCAGCTCAGGGCTGGACTGGCAGTGAAGAAAGATGTTCACTCTCCCCTTCACTGACGCTTGATGCCCTTCTCCCTTTGCTTGCTCTCTCTCTCTGCCTGTCCTGGGCACATTCTCTGGCTCTGTCCATCCAATGTCTCTGTCCCTCCCACACCCTGGCCTTGGGGCCCGGAGATGCCTACCCTCCGCCTCCCACCTCTGCCCACCGCTTTCCGTCTGCACCTCGGTGTGTCCCACTCTCGCTCCCCCTCTTCCTGGCCTGCCTGCCCATCAGTCTCTCTGTCTCTCCAGGACCCAGGGAGGAGGAACAGGCTACTTTCCCCAGGACTGAGGTGATGGACACCCTCTCTGCCACTCCTGACCCAGCCCTGAACAAAGCACCTCAAGTGCAGAAAGCAAAGGGGGCCCGTGGCTTGGAGTGGGTTGGCTCGCTGACGGCTGCTGGAGGGGACGCTGGCTGAAGTGGGGGGGGCCCTGGCCCACCTGAGACCACAAGGTGGGAACATGGTCACCGCCACTCTGCATACCCTCATTCAAAAACACTGTCACTGTGCTGCTATGGACGACCTCCGACTCTCGGTTACAAGTGGAGGTGCCCTGGAGGCCGGACTCCTGGGTCTCTGGGGAAGAGGGCCCTGGGGGCCCGGATCCAGGATTCTGGGAGGCTTCAGTTACCGCTGGCCGAGCTGAAGCACTGGGTATGAGGCTGGGGTGGGACAGGAGGTGGCACACCCTGGCGGAAGAACAAAGAGGACACCATTTTCCCAGAGCTGCAGAGAACAGCTGGTGGGGGAGGAAGAAGTGTAACTCACCAGCCTCTGCTCTTATCTTTGTAATAAATGTTAAACAAAGCCAGAAGTTGACATTTCCCTCTAAACATGTCTACACTCCTAACTGGCGGGCCGGTGGAGGACCGCTGCCCTGTCTGAACCCGTTTCAGAGGCCTCCTCCCCTAAGCGCCCTCCCAGCTCTGTAGGCTGGGCAGTCCGCGGCAAACCCCCGCCCAGATCTCAGAAAAAGAGCAATGGCTTTGAACTCACACAGATCAGGGTCCAAATCCTGGTTCTGCCATCCACTGGCTGTGTGACCTCGGGTAAGTGGCATCACCTCTCAACAGTTTACCTTACCTGTAAGATGGGACTGCCTCCCATGGAACTGCTGTGAAGGTTAAAACACAGTAGCCCAGAGGCATTTAGTAAGAACCAAATATGTGAGAGAGAATCTTTTTTTTTGTTTTGTTTTTTTTTTGAGATGGAGTCTTGCTCTGTCGCCCAGAGCTGGAGTGCAGTGGCATGATCTCTGCTCACTGCAACCTCCGCCTCCTGGGTTCAAGCAATTCTCCTGCCTTAGCCCCCGAGTAGCTGGGATTACAGGTACCTGCCACCACGCCCAGCTAATTTTTGTATTTTTAGTAGCGATGGAGTTTCACTGTGTCATGAAGGCTGGTCTTGAACTCCTGGGCTCAAGCCATCTGCCCGCGTCAGCCACCCAAAGTGCCGGGATTACAGGTGTGAGCCACTGTGCCTGGCCAAGAATCATTTTTATCATTGTTTTTGATTTTCACACACAATGCATGGCGGCCCTTTTTCTGATTTTTTGTTGCTTTTCTCCCCCTATTCATGCCTTACCAGAATCTAGATGACAACTCACCCATCAAGAGACTAACAAAAGCCCCAAACCGCCCCAAACCACCCACATACGCGTCTCACATCCGCTCAAGAGAGGATGTGAAAGGGAAGGGGGCAAACAAGGGGCTGACACTGCCAGAGGCCCTACTGTGTGCTTAGCTCTGTTTATAAGTCACCATAACCACTCTCCTGACCCTACTGCACAGATACAGAAACTGAGGATTCACGGCTCTTCTTGGAGCTTCCCTACCCCACTGCATAGAGATAGAAACTGAGTTTGAAGGGGAGCCAGGCCTTCCCTCGGGCCCCCAGCCGGAAGCTAGGAATCCAGGCTGCAGAGCCCAGATTCACGCCCATCCCGCCCTACTGCCAAGGTGAGTCAGAGGCAGAGTGGCCTTGGGCCTCAAACCCCGGACTAACTTCCCTTAGTGGCTTCATTCCAGCTTGAGGGGCTGATTCATTCTTACTTCCCTCCTCTGGAGGGAAAGATCGGGCTGCAAGTCATCCCTTTCTGCTGAGCTATCTTTGGATTTCCCTTAAAGTCCACAGCCAGCCTCACCCCTTCATCCCTGAGAGCTAAATTGGGGCCTTTGCCACCCACTGCCACAAACTGCCCTTCCTCTGGAGGCCGGCCCACCTGGGGAGTAAAGGCGGGGACTCAAGAAAGGAAATGGATGAGACCTCCAGAAATTGCTGACACCCTTCCCCTGCAAGAAGCCCTCCTGGCAGTGTTGCCAAAGCCTCTGCCAAACTCATTCTTCTGGGACCGCTCTTCCCTTGCCCACTCCCTTTTAGCCGGCAAACTCCTTCCTATGCCTCTCTCAGGCCTCAGCTTACATATCCTCTCCTCCAGGAGGCCCTGTCTGACACTCCTACAGCCTCATAAACCTATCGCTATCACAAAAATCATATCGGGTCTGGCTAGGCGCGGTGGCTCACGCCTGTAATCCCAGCACCTTTGGAGGCCAAGGCGGGCAGATCACCTGAGGCCAGGAGTTTGAGACCAGCCTGGCCAACGTGGTGAAACCCCGTCTTTACTAAAAATATAAAAATTAGCGAGGTGTGGTGGTGTGCGCCAGCTACTTGGGAGTCTGACTGAGGCAGGAGAATTGCTTAAACCCAGGAGGCAGAGGTTGCAGTGAGCCAAGATTGCACCACTGCACTCCAGCCTGGGTGACAGAGTGAGACTCCGTCTCAAACAACAACAAATTAACCAGGTGTAGGGGCACACACCTGTGGTCCCAGCTACTTGGGAGGCTGAGCTGGGAGGATCACTTGAGGAACCTGGGAAGTTGAGGCTGCAGTGAGCTGTGACCATGCCACTGCACTCCAGCCTGGATGACAAAGTGAGACCCTATCTCAAATGATAACATTGGGTCAAGCATCATGCTAAGTCCTTTTAATAAGTTATCTCAATAAAAGGAGGCAAGGTAGGCACTATTGGTCCCATTTTACAGATGAGGTAACTGCCCAAAGCCATAGCAAAGAAGTTTGGAGCCAGGATGTGACCCAGGCAGCCTGGCTCCAGAGGCCCAGCACTTAGCCACCTGGCCCATTCAGACACTCAAGATCTTCACATTGTATTTTCTTTTTCTTTCTTTTTTCTTTTCTTTTTTTTTTTTTTTGAGACGGAGTCTCACTCTGTCACCCAGGCTAGAGTGCAGTGGCGTCGATCTTGGCTCACAGCAACATCCGCCTCCTGGGTTCAAGCGAATTCTCCTGCCTCAGGCTCTCAAGTAGCTAGGATTACAGGCATGTGCCACCACGTCTGGCTAATTTTTTTGTATTTTTTTTTTTTTTGTAGAGATGGTGTTTCACCATGATAGCCAGGATGGTCTCAAGCTCCTGACCTCATGATCCACCCACCTTGGTCTCCCAAGGTGCTGGGATTACAGGCACGAGCCACCTGCACCCTGCCTATATTTTCATTTTTCTTCACAATTGTGTCTTCAATACCAAGGGCCTGGTATAGACAGAGCCTCAGTGAATGTCACTAAATGAACCCTCTGAATGCCTGGGAGGGCCTGAAGCCATCCAAGTTGGTTTCAGCTGAGGCAAGGTTGGAACCAGTGAGAAGGGGCTTTTGACCAAGAACCTGGAAAATACAAGAGATCCTATATTCTGAATTATCTTGGCTCTGCCCTGGCCCACCTGCCCTCATTCTCCACTGTGGTGCTCAGGCCTGGATGCCCCCACTTCTGGCAGCTTTGCACCCTCCTCACCAAATCAACACTTCCTGAAGTCCCTGGGTCAGGAGCTGGGCTGCAGACGTGAATCAGAAGGATCTGTCCTCTGGAGTCAGTCTTATGGTGATTTTGGCTCATTCCCTCTCCTATTTCTGTTCTGCCTGCACTCCCATGAGGACTGGGTGCCCAGAGAGGGGCAGGGGCTTTCCCAGGCTCATACAGCCAGTCACGGGCCTTTCCCCTTCACGAAACCCCCAACTGCCCTGAGGACCCTTCTTACACCCACACCCTTCCCATGCTCAAAGCCCTTCCATTCCTCCTGCTGCCCTCCTGTGAAAGTCTAGCTCTGAGTTCAGCTCTTATTTTTTTAGAGACAGGGTCTTGCTCTGTCACCCAGGCTGGAGTACAGTGGTACAATCATAGCTCACTGCAGACTTGAACTCCTGCACTCAAGTGATCCTCCCGCCTCAGCCTCCCAAGCAGCTGGGACTGTAGGTGTGTGCCACCATGCCTAGCTCTCTCTTTTTTTTTTTTAACGGACACAGATTTCATTTACATGAAGTTCAAAAACATAGACACACCTAATCTCTGTGCCTGTTAAATTTTGTTTTTCGAGACAGAGGTTTGCTCTTGTTGCCCAGGCTGGAGTGCAATCTCAGCTCACTGCAACCTCCGCCTCCCGAGTTCAAGTGATTCTCCTGCCTCAGCCTCCCGAGTAGCTGGGATTACAGGTGCCTGCCACCACGCCGGGCTAATTTTGTATTTTCTCCATGTTGCTTAGGCTGGTCTCAAACTCCTTGACCTCAAATGATCCGCCCACCTCGGCTTCCTAAAGTGCTGGGATTACAGGAGCGAACTATCATACCCGGCCTCTGTGCCTGTTTTTGATTGGCATCAGGTGGGTGGTTGCTTCTGGAGCAAGGGAATTGACAGGGAAAGGGCACGAGGAAGATGTCTGGGTGCTGGAAATGTTCTCTGATTAGCAGTTACATGGATATATACATGGTAAAAATTCATTGCCCAGAACACTTAAGATGTGTGCCCTTTATATACTTTACCACACTTATACTTCACACACACAAAGATAAAAGAAAAATAAGTACTTATACATTTCTCCTTATACATACTGAGAAGTTTCCATAACATAGTTAGATGGGGGATCAAAAGCCATGTCTTTTCTCTGCTGGGCCCATATCCACCTCCAGCTGCTGCCCCTGTCTCTGGTGCTTAGTACATTATCTTTTCTTTGGAACCCTTTACTCCCACAGTGCCAGGTCATCCCGTCCCCGACACTCCTGGCTCCATCTCGGCCCCTCTCCGGGAGCCTGGCTCCTACATGCAGGAGGCTCAGGCTTAGTCCGGGCTCTCTTCAACCTCTCAGCCTAGGTGATCTCAGCAAATCACAGCTTTAACTATCATCTATATATGAGCAGCTCCAAAATTTAGCATACCAGTATAGTTACTAATAAATAACATGACAAGGACATCTGTGATTTTCTCAAAACAAACAAAACTCCAGGGGGCGGAGGGAAGTATGTACGCTTATATGTGGGAGGGGAAAAAGAAGAAATAAGACAAGTGAAATGCAGATGACTGTCAATACTGGGCGATGAGTACGTGGGAGTCTCTTCCTATCATATCTTTGTGTGTGTTTTTAAAATTCTATAATGACTGCAACCCCAGCCTTTGGGAGGCTGAGGTGGGTAGATTGCTTGAGCCCAGGAGCTCGAGGCCCAACCTAGGCAGCATAGTGAAACCTCATCTCTAAAAAATTAGCTGGGGTGGGCTGTGTGCGATGGCTCAGGCCTGTAATCCCAACACTTTTGGAGGCCAAGGCGGGTGGATCACAAGGTCAGGAGATTGAGACCATCCTGGTCAACATGGTTCCAGCTGCTTGGGAGGCTGAGGCAGGAAGACTGCTTGAGTTCGAGAGGTGGAAGTTGCAGGGAGCCAAGATCGTGCCATTGCATTCCAGCCTGGGTGACAGAGCAAGACTTTGTCTCAAAATCAATCAATCAATTAAATTAAATTCTGTAATGAAACG